ACAGAGCATTTTCAATATTAAAAATAAAAATTGATTTTTCAAACATTTTATGACAATTTAATGGTTAACTGCTACCTTAAGTCTAAAAGCAACTACCGACTCTCTTGTCTTCTGTCTGCCCGCCCTTTGTTGCTAATCGACTACCAAGTTAATGCGGTTATTTTCAATGTTTTATGTTCAGTATCAACCAGTAATCACCTCAATCAAAACTATCACAGTCGTGATAACTATTATTTTTCATTTTTATAACTATTTTTACGCACGCAGACAGGCCTTGCTTTTGTTTGGAGACTTTGTCCTTCAAACTACCTTTCCTCTTTTAACAACAAAAATATTGTTTTTCTACAAAACTTTCATGTCGATAGAGTTAATATTTGATTGAAAAGAGTCTTATCTTACGTGCGTAAGTCATTCATCGCTTTGGCAAACTTCAAAGATACACAGTCAAATATTTTAGGTAGATATGTCGTCGGCCAGGGTCCCTGGTGTAGTCATTAATCCTAAACTAAGTATCCGTTTAATCGATTCAAGGCGGACATTGTTCTCGCAACGCAAACTTTTTCTGCAAACAAGAAAAATCCAAGCCTGGTCGTTAGGCAAATTTCGAAGCACACACAGAACTGCCCGTGTCAATCTTTAAATAGCATTTTTATTATTCGAATTTGCGTCTCTGTATGGCCTATTTGAAGAACTGTGAGTCCAACTGAAATAATCTGAAATAATGATGGTCCTTAGACAGCTCTCCACTAACCTCTACCCTGCTGTCGATGCTCTGACACACTGCCGCTGCGCAGCCTTGTGGGATCGAAGGATCTGTGGTATCGTGACCACCTAGTAACAAGCTTGCTGCTGGTCAAGTCTATCGTATATTAACGGTTAAACCACCTTAAAGCGTGGTTGTGTTGCCTCAGGAAGTATATTATTCTGAGGTCGTGGCAGGCTAACACCTAGGCCCCAGAAGCCGGCTGATTCCTTGGTTTTAGCCGCTTTGATTTTTGGTTGTAAGAATAACCTTTAGCAAGGATATGATTGGTTTTTTCATTTCATGCTTAAGCCATTTCACCTTTATGTCTCCAGATGATTCAGGCCTTCAGCTATAACCACATCAGGTATGGTCCGAGTCTTAAGGAACTTTAGGTGGCCCTTTCATAAGATTAGGATTGGTAAGTCATGCTCCCATTGAAAGGTGACAGACCAAACGAATGAGTGGACTAACGACGTGGTTAAAATAGTCGCTTTCATTTTCAAGCGAAGTTTGGTATATACAGAACAAGTGCAGAAAAGGGCGTGATATTTTTATGGGCAGGTACAAAAATCTTTTCAGTTGCAAACGTATGTTAACCTTAGTCAAATGGCAGAGAGAGTTTCAATGGGCAATGATAATTGGTAATAATAATAATAATAATGGAAACTTTTCATTTTGAATTCCAGTTAAAACTACAATTACAAATCTCACTATTACAAGGTAATTTGTAACTGGCTAGCCTGTTTTTACAAAATAAGACTATTACAATCGTAGTAAAGAGAAAAGAAAAGAAAAAACGTTAAAAGGGGAGTAGCTCTGGGTTAGTCCATGTTTTGTTCCTACAGCAAAAAATGTAATAGGTGGTACGAATGGATATCGTAGAAAGCTTAGAAATGAGATATCGTTTGTGTTGATCATCGATGGAAAGAGAGTCACACATTTCAAGGAATGAGCTGCATGAGTCGCCGAAGATGCCAAGAGAGCTGATGGAGAGATTTACAAATATCACAGATTTGAACCTTGGTCTTAGATCTGAGACAAGGCGAGCATATTTTGAACGTTTCCTTTCTGCATTGCAGTTAAGGTTAGTTTCAAATCCTATCGTTAGTTCCAAAACATATAAATTATAATAATAATGATAATAATAATAATAATAATAATAATAGGCAGGAGAGGCAGGAGAAAGAGTGTCAGAGAAAGATTTCAAAAAGCGAAGAAGAGAAGAGAGGCGATCAGAGCTAGAAGAAAAGGCGTTACATGGACAGTTTTTCAGGCAGACAAAAGAAATAAATGACCCAGAGTCATGGGGATGGCTCCGGGACGGGGAATTGAAAAAGGAGACTGAAGGACTGATAATGGCGGCGCAGACCCAGTCATTGCGAACAAATGCAATTAAAGCAAACATCGATAAGACGCAGAGGGACTCGAAATGTAGAATGTGTAATCAGAAAGAGGAAACAATAAGCCACATTGTCAGTGAATGCCCAAAACTGGCACAGAGAGAGTATAAACGTAGACATGACTGTGTAGCGAAAGCCCTCCATTGGGATGTCTGTCGCCTGTATGACATAGATTGTGGAAATAAATGGTACGAACATCAGCCAGATGGAGTGGTAGAAACAACAAATGTAAAGATTCTCTGGGATGTCAATATTCAAACAGACAATGAAATCCAGGCAAGGAGACCTGACATAGTGGTTGTCAATAAGAAAGAAAGGAAGTGTTACATCATTGATGTTGCAGTCCCGGGAGATGTGAGAATAGCTGAAAAAGAGATAGAGAAAATCGAAAAGTATGACGAATTAAAGAGAGAAGTGGAAAGATTATGGAAAGTGAAAGCAAAAGTTATTCCTATTGTCTTGGGAGCCCTTGGAACAGTAACACGAAATTTGAGCAACTACATCAAGGAAATTGGAGTCAAGACGCAGATAAAACTAATACAAAAATCCAGGGGCGGCGTGGGGTGGTATTAAAGGTATTAGTCTAATACCATTTTATTTTCAAAGGAAGGCGACTTTGGGTCTCTGAGATTGCAGGAAATTTATTTTGCTTTTTGTACGCTGCCACTTTTTCACAACAATTTTATCGATGCGACCAGCTCTATTCGTATAGCCAAGCTATATTTGCTTTTCTGTTCGTTGAATGAAAGCTTTCCTAATCCTCATTGAAATCTTTGAAAAGTGTAATCCATGCCGTAATCAGCAGCCCTGGCCATGGTATTAGCCTCCAAAAACTAATACACTGCCCCGAAATTTCTTTTGTCTGTTGTGGTCTGCATGACGTGAATTTCTCTTGTTGAGCCATGGTAGAAGAATGGGTGAACAGCAGTAAGGTATTAGTTTTTCATTTCTAATACTACGAGGGCCACTGTCAGTGGAAGAGACGGTGGAAAGAGCCCCAGCTCTATTCTAAGGCCTCAGCTTATAGAAAAAATATTTCTGGAAATTAACTTTATGAATTTACAAAATGTAGCTGTACTTTTGCTAGCAATGCCTTTGGATGGATAATTTGATTGACAAAATTTAGACACTGAATATAAAGAGCAACAGTCATGAAATAATTTGTTTAAGCTAAAGGCAGTTGTAAAAGTTGTTTTGTATGAACTGTATGTTTTGTAAAACTTCGATTCTATATGATTGTAGAGTCATAGGCAACATTCTCACATTATTTCTCTCGGTTTCTCAAATCAAATGATACATCTTACGTTTTTTTGCTGCATTACTCTAAAGTAAATCGCTCGCTTTATCGTAATAGAATCTCATTCGCGGGCCAAAAGCCTCATGGTATTAGAATTAATGGGCTAATACCTTGGGGCTCCATTACTGGGCAGCAAACCGCTGTATCAAAACACGATTTCGCTCGTGTAATTTGCCGCAGCCATAATTCATTTGTATTTCGTAGGACCGATCCTTCACCCAAAACTAGTAGGATGAACTACATTACCACACAGTCATCAGTGTCTGGGGGGAGACAACGGGGGCCAGTGCCTTCAAATAATTTTGTAAGATATGGTATTGCCAAAAGCTATTTTAAACCATCATATCGAAAAGTTCATTTTGCCCACCTTCTTAAATAAGAACATATAAGCTCCACCCCTGTTTAATAGTTTCAGGACCTTGCAGGGGGACCTTCTTATGTCTTAATTTCGGAGGCTAATACCAATACTTTTCTACTCCCAGCCGCCCCTGCAAAAATCTGTACTTTTAGGAACTGCAAGAGTGTTGAGAAAAGTTCTCGAGATCTAAGATCATGGGTATTGATCCGATTTCAAGAAACATCAAGAACAAGCCAGTTATAACATCAGAACTGTGTACATCAGCATAATAATAAGGATGATAATAATAGTACATTTCTTAATACAGGGTTACCTTTTCATCAACAAATGTTATCAATAAGGGCCCCGTGGCTCTGCATAAGCTCCTACTATCCACAAAATTCTTATGTGTTTTGTTAATATTTTCCCTTTTTCTAGAAATCCCAATCTCATCAGTATGTTGTAAAAAACAAGAAATTTTCCAATATTTTAAATGGTTTTCTGTTTCAAGCAGTCGTTTTTGAGACGCTTTGTCAACATGACAGTCTCCTACCATATACGCTCTTACTTGAGTCACTGCGAAGGTGCGGAGGCGCGGAGGTGCGGAGGTGCTGCTTTTAGACCAAATGCAAAAACCAATGTATAGTAACCGCCAAAGTATTTATCCCCGTGGTTCGAACCGAAATAAATGTCTCTTTTGCAAGTATTTATACGGCTTATTATTAAACCGTAATTGGTTGCAAAGTCAACGCAGGAGCGCGAAAGCCCTTTAAACTTCATTTTCTGTCTCGGAAACCAACAGAAAAATGGAATACAGTATTTTTAAAGAAAGCGCGTTTTTCCTATAAAAACGCGTTTTTCAAAATTTTTTCTCGTGTTAACAAAACAGGGCAGGTTTTTTCAACAAATAGACCGTACCGTAAAAAATGTTTTGCAAAGCTGTTTTGTTTTAGAATACATTTATAGCATGTAGATGTAGAAAAATCAATATAAAAAATTAAGCCTCAGAAAAATTTATCTGGCTTTTATACAAAAAGAGTGTATCCTTTTTTGAAATCGTTAACCTGAATGGACCTTTTTTCAGTTTCTTGTGGTTTGCTTCAATAATGGAACTACTTAAATTGTTTTTAATAATCAATTTGAGTTTTCAATAACCTGCTCTTTATAACCAGTAAATGGTTGTTCTAAATGATAGTTTTATGTCGACAATTTGTTTCCTAGGTACGGACAAAATTGGAGAACCCCACGTCATACCATTTAAAACAACAGCAGAAGAAACAGCTCAAAGAGTATTACAACACCCAACAGAGGCTTAGCTTCCGTCCTGCCTTGCCACTGGACACGAGCAACCAAAGAACATTCGATCAGTTCAACTTCAACAATGTTGCCTCCCCAGCTACGTCCGATGTGGCAGATTCTTCTGTCGCTAGCAATGAGGTAAACGCATTCAATCTTTTAAGCGATTTACACTTCTGAAGATAAGTTCTTGAAGTTATTTGATACGCGAAACAAAAGTCACCAGTTGAATCAGTAGTCATTGCCTTGTAATGGTTGCCAGCTTTCTAGAGATTGTTATAAAAATACTCTTATTAGCAACATGTGTCAATGGATTTGGAGAATTTGGGCAGTCTTGTTGAAATTTTTAATAAGTAATGAGAAGTCAGAAACTTAATTTTTTAGCCAAATGTATGGTATCAGTTCGCAGTTAATTTTTGGATGTAAAAAGAATTCTTTTGTTAATGCTGGTAAAGTATTAAATTTCAAGGTTTAATTTTGGAATTGTCGTTTTAATTTTCAAATTATTTGTTGCATTTGTGTTTGGTATGTAGCATTTATTTAAGCCCATGCAGCATTTATATATTATCACCCAATTAATTGGTTGCAATTTGTTTGTCTTCAGTGGCTTTTATTAAGTTTGAATTACCCAGCTCGCGAATTTCATTTCTAATAATAATACTAGGCTAAAAAATGAAATTGAGGTAGAACTAAAAACCAACCCTTCATATTTTGCCCCATTTTTTATCGCTAACAGATATGTTGTCAACTAGCATGATTACAGAATCTTTTCTTGCTGAATCGTGTACGATGCGTTTTTTTCGATCGTTTTCATTTACTCGGTTTTGCATGTAACCGAAATGTTTTCTCCACAGGTCGATAGTTTGCTCGAAGATTTCTTTGGGTAGGTTTTCCATTGTATCTAAGGAATTTTTGCTACGATGTAATAGCAAGAAAGCAAAGTTTGAATATTGCAAGCATTGGGTCACTATGGCTTCCCAGCTTCCCAGACTATGGCTGAGGTGGTCAGAAGTTATCGATATCATAGTGCAAAAGGCTTTGATTGTAATACACTTTGCACCCCCCCCCCTTCCCCATTTCAAATTTCGTTTAATATTCATTGTTGAATTATTGAGTATGTCTTCTTTCGATTATTTTTTGAGCATCATTTAACTGCTACCCGCGTTCATTGCAAGAACCTATTTCTAGATCTGTTTGTTACCGTTTCTTTAGATATTTTTGCGATTTCCATGTGAAAACCAAGGCTGTATGCAAAAATATTAACCACTAGCACTAGCATCAATAGCTACCAGTTAAACTGAGAAAGTTTTCTTCTCGGATAAGCCCCCGTCTTATGTAAGCCCCTTCTTCAGCATTGGGTTTTAAATCCCCCGGATCTTAAACGGTAGATTGAAAAATGCAACTGTATGTTTTTGTTGTCCAAATATTTTTTCTAATTGATGTACGTCTGCAGCTTTTGTAAAATATTTTGTTGTTTAAACAATAATTGTTCTAAATCGGATATGAACTTACTCTGATCCAAAGTTGCGATGAATTGTGATCAAAAGAACGGAAAAATGTTTTTCCCCGAAATAAGAACTAAGGAAGTAAATATCCTTAGTAGGGAGTAGTAAGTCATTTGTTTATCAAACCAACAGTTGCAATGGAAAGATAAGTCATAACTTTATGCACACTCAATCGTACAACTAATTTTATTCTCTGTTCACATTACAGTCAAGTGGACACAGTTAGTGAGGACTTAAATATGTTTGGAGATGGACTTCCTTTTTCAACAACGGTAATTTGCTATTTATACGATTCATTAGGCACTGCTTTCCAAAAATGGCTCAGTAAATAGTGTTAAATGTTTTGATTTGGTACTGCAAGCTTTAATAAGAATTGATTATATATTTGCCAATAATGTCTTAAGAATTTACAGATCTCCTAATCAGGGTCGTTACTCATTTGTGGTTGAATCAGGGGTTTTTAAGAATTGTCTTGGGTATATGATATTTAGGAATAAAATCGCTGATTTTAATAATAGGCTGATTTGATTGCATGTTGTTCATTGTCTTTATGTGCTCTCGTTATACTCTCTTTGTGCTTTTAAAAACAAATAATTTATTTTCTTTCCCTTCATAGTATGGTACTGAAAAGGTTTTATTTTGTTAAGTTAGCTAATAATCAGCTCGAGTATTAACCAGCTTTGCCATAATTGAAGTTCCCTTCTCTTGTAGTTGCCTACAAATACAGGCCTTATGGATTTGTATGCGCCTGATCTGTGCGGAGAGCAAACCTACGATAAGGTAAACATGTTATTTAGACCCAGATGTATCTATCAAACATGGCGTAGCTGAGTTTATAATGTTTTTTATATTTTGTACAGTGATTGAAAATTACTGTTTACCAATCTGTCAGAAAGTATTCGATGCCGTATAGACAGAGCTGTACACGCTATTTGGTGTATAGAACAGTACGGTTCTAAGTTGCTACTCTAGGTTTCACGCTTACAGCGACCATCGGGTAACTGTAACTTAGAACTGTCTTATTCTATACACCAATTACCGTCTTCTGTAGAGTTATGTGTTTTTAGAATCCCAATGTACGTCTGTTAGAAAGCTTTGAACTTTTTGAATAAATTGGTACTCAAATTAAAAGTAAGAGTGAAAATGAGTTGCACAATATTTAATGTTTTCAATATTTCCTTGCTGTGAGTCAAAAATGTCCCGGTTTTGTAATAAAAATTGAAAAGAGTGTAACTTTTTGCATCTATCTTGTTTAAACATATCTTGTCTCAGGTTTGCTTGTAAGGTTTACATTCATCATTGATTTCCAGGTGTCGTGTTTACCTCCAAGGTTATTTATCACTTTTGCCATTTCCTTTCCAGTGCTATTGTTTCGGCTAAAAGCCTAGTCTAGTAAAATACCCTTTAAGTCAGTAAATGGCTCACACAGTGAATTCTTTGCTGATCGATTAAAGTTGCAAAATGCCGTTAGTATTAGTATAATTAGTTCTTGGTTTTCTTTGCAGCAGACTGCTTTGCAAATTTCAGCATCATGTCCAGCAAAGGTAAAGCGAGAAGGTTGGTGATACTTTCCTTTTGTTGCAAAATCGTGGCTGTTTTTAGCTGAAATTTAGGCCAAAGGGCTTTCTTTATCCAAGTGCAAGGAATGCCAACACAAAATGTCTATAACAATTAATACGACTCCCTTTGTAGCATTTTTTGAGGTTGGTACTTTTTGGTAACAAAATTGTACAGATAGTAATATCCCCATTGTTTATGCTTCAACAAATATTTTTCAGATACGTTTAGATAGGTATATTTTAGCAAAAGTACTGGCAACATTAGGCCAAGGAAATTTTCAGGGCTACTGATTTGACCTACGTGCACCAGTAATTATCTGTCCAATCAGTTGTGTAAGTTTATGTAACTATATTTAGCAGGAAAATCACTTCCATATTTCCATATTCTTTATTTAAGACAAAGCCTTATCGTGTAAAATTTCCTTTCTTTTTCAGCACCTACAAGTCCTTGCGATAGTCAAATCTTTGTTAAAGATAGGCAGAAAAAGGACAATCACAACATGAGTGAGTTAAATTCAACTATAAGCTACTTAATATGTAGCCTTCTTTGATTGACCTTTTTCAAATACTTTTATATATGTTAGGTCAAAAGCACCTTTTTCTCGTGCAACAACTTTTAGACACCCCCAGATTGTGCCAATTCAGATAATTAGCATATAAAAACCAAAAATCCGCTATTGTCTAGACAGAAGAAGCTCGTTTTCACCCTTGGAATCCAGTGACAGTTTTCTAAAGGTACGCGGTAATGGTTGGGTGGCTATGTCGGTCATGTGTTTGCGTTTTTTTCATTGGCCTATTACGATCCACAGCTGCGTGTATGCTTTCAGTCTTGATCTTTTCGACCCTGATTCTGATGTTTTATACGTCGAGGAGTGTCAGAAAAAAAGCTCTAGTTTGTTGTGAAGTATTTGCTTTTTCAAAGCCATTTTCAAATTCTGTATAATCAAAGGTTTTTCATGTTTTAAATAAACAAACATGTGATTTTTTAAAAATGATCTGTCATTTTTAGTTGAAAGGAGGAGAAGATATAACATAAATGACAGGATTCGAGAGCTAGGGACATTGATTCCAAAGAGTGACAGGTAACTGATATTCCATTTTGCTGGATGACGAGCGTTAGAGATTTAATCAATATAATGTAAACGATTCTTCAAATGAATGTACTTTTTATATATTAACTTATAATTCTGAAATTTATATTTATAATTTGTTTTCACCTACTGTTTTCCTAAACCTATACAATTATAGATTGGTGCAATTGTGGTCAACAGTTTATTGTGCACATTGTTGTATAGCGCAGGACGGTTCTACGTTGCTCGATGAATATTTGGATAGCTCTTTTTCAGTCAGAATGATGTTTACAGACAGAGGTGCAGTGCAAAAAGGGGCAACGGGAGCCGTCCTAAGAATATCTCAACAAAACACCAAGTTTTAAAATAGACTACCTATCGGTATCAAAAAGGGGCTGAACCTGCCAGCTGTCATCCCTGTTAACAGTCTTGTTAGGAAATGGTATCTCAAAGATGGATAAAATGAATGTTTTTACCTAATTGGTTATGTCAAAACAATAGATTGTTTCGCGTATAGATTCTAGAGGAGTTTGTTGCTAGACCTATAACATGTCACCTCGCCGGTTGGATACCAAAGCTTCGACTTTGCTTAGGCCCTGTTCATGAGAAGTCAATCGCTGCCCTCGTCGTTTATTGACGTTCATAGAAATTTGTTAGTTTTCAAGCATTTCCCGATTCCTTGTGTTGCTTTATTTGTTTTTGTTACAAGCCTCGGTACTAAGTCAATTCCGAGTCAAAGCCAAATGTGGAAGTTTGCTTATAAGTTTACCTGTTTTTTCGTCTTAGTGACTCCAAGCAGAATAAAGGAACAATTTTGAAGTCATCTGTTGACTACATAAAAAGATTACTGAGGGAGAGAGAGCGCTTTAAGGGTGTTGATTCGCAAAACAAAGCCCTTGAGGAGAAGAACAAGCAGCTTACCCTAAGAGTTCAGGTCAGTCTTATTACACTGAAAGATTCAAGATTTATAACTCCAAAAGGCCCTTAAAAGTACTATTTACTCAGAGTACTTAGAATCTTTTTGGGAAAGGAGACTCACTGATTTTATTCGCGATCACAAAACAGTGAAATTATTATTTTAATTTCTGGAATTACTTCTTTAATCTACTGTCGAAGTTATGAAAATGTCATTTTTTGGGAACTGTGAATTGTTTCATAAATTTTGATTGAAAATCCTTAATCTCCTGTTCTCAGATTGCTTGATGTTTAACTTACGATTTTCCATTCAATGAAATGTGCTTAATACCAGACAGTGTGTTCAACTTCAGTCAAGAATTTAATTTGATACCCTTTTTCTAAAAGCAATTTCCGCGTTTTTCTTCTCTATTGACACCAAGAAAATTGACCATGTATGGGAATTTCCACGGTAAACACACTGTTTGTGTCATGCATTACAAGTCAAAATCCAGACTCGATTCCTTGTTGAAATTTTCTGTCTTTATTCGGTGATCTATAATACCCCTTTTGCTAGCCTGGTCCTTCCTGTGATGTAAAAAAATTCATTGTGTGATGTATGATATGTTATAGCAATTGTTCTTTTTAAAGTTGGCTGGATGCTAATAGTCAATTATCTTAATTATATATTGTTAACCTTCTTTTTCTGTTTTCCCTTAAAATCAATGATTACCTCATAGGAACTGGAATTGATACTCCGGGCTTCAAATATCCCAACGCAGCTGCCGTCCCCAACTTTGACATCGAACTTGAGACTTAGCGCAGGTCTTAACCTGGCTAACCTTCTGTCGAGTGATAAAAATAGATCAGGGGCCTCTTCCACGATGGCTAGCCCAGTTCAGGCTTCAAATAACAATTTAGTGGAACGCAGTCCAGAGAGTGCAGACGAGGCTTCGCAAATGAGCTCCATACATAGTGCAGCTAGTGATGATGATTGTGTAATTATGGAGGAGGAATAAATGATTGCGAGACTCAGCAAAAATGGTGTTCTTGATTGTAATCGAATTTAAGGAATCTGATTCAAGATAGCGAATTGGCATTTGGGATGATTTCTTTTAATTACACTATGCAATCTACTGCTTTGCGGATTGATGTCAATTCAACGATCATGTTTGAGGACACAACCTCATCAAAGCAATTCTAGACCGATGCACGTCGTAAAGCTGTAGTAAAATGGGTAGAGACGCAGCTAGATCAACCTGAGCTGTGAAAACCCTTCCGTTTCAGTGCTTTATCCCGTATATTGCCCGCAGATGCTTGCCCTCGTCGATGCGAGCCATCAATCAAGAGCCTGTGGAGGGAAAAGAAGACGAACTAGATGATACTGAACTAGTGTCTAAAACTCCTTCAAAGCAGAACTCCTTTGTGCGGGGGGAAGCCTTCCTTTTAGCGAAAATGTTTTTCTTAGAAATCTGTCCGTTGCTGTGAATCAGTGAAGAGAAGTTTTGCTTCTTATGCGAAAAAAGCTGCTAATTCGGCAGCAAGAGCCTTTCAAAACATTGAACTTAGCTAATAGCAAAAGTGAATTCGTAACAAAGCAGTTCATGGCAGATATAGTGCACTTTGCGTCAAGTCTCGTTTTCGATACGAGGCGTTCGGATTCTAGTTAACTAACGTCGTGAAAATTTGCAGGGTAGTGAGAATTAGAATTATCAATTTTTCTTAATATGTGACCAGTTTTGTGCTTATATGGAAGGTATTTTTTGATAACGAATAATACTGTTGTGTTTTAACTAACATTTTATGCTCTTATGCCTAGTGTGGCTTTTATGTTTTTTTAGATTAGTCTTCATAGTTTGTTGATTGCACGTGTCGTACAATCTTACAGCACTGTTTTGTAATGTCAAAGTAATGGGTTGTTAAATGTTTTGTCTATAATGTGTTTTACCCATGTTTTGAACCTAAATATATCTCCTTTTTGTGATATTTAGACAATTCCAAGAGCTGTTGAAATATATTAAGACATTCGAAGCACTTAAATGCATTTTCCAATCAAAGAGGGAGTTCGCTGTTTTTAATGCGAAGGACATTGCTAGAATTTGCCCCTAAACGATATTTTTGTTGAAATTCTAAATCTCTCTCAGAAACATTGAGACAGGGTGTCGCCAAATTTCCTCCTTGCTTTCTTTGTCCAAAGCCTTATAAGCGAAGTGGTTTAGCTTCTCTATTAAGCATTCCTCTTTCCTAGATTATAGCCTCTGGATTAGAAGCAACAACAGCTGCTTTCTTGAACCAGTGTTTGCAAATCATTAAACGCTAAAACTGTTTGTTTTCTAGCTCCCATTCCAGGAAAGCAGCTGCTTCAAGTCTTTAAGCTGCTGTTTTTTTGTTAAATCGCCGCGAAGTCCTTTAATCCGTATTGAAATATTTTTCAGTGTGTTGAATAAAACCCCAAATGGTTCGATTTAAAGCTCGTTGCTTTACAATTTTGTTAGAAGGTTAGTGTATATATTTGTATTGTGACGTGTTTTTATGGTTGAATTGTGGTTTTCTCTTTCTGTTTATCCAGGCTTTTAAAAGCTTCCTAGGTGACATATCTGCACTTACAGGAAGATGCGCTGTTGTAAAATGTTCTGCAATTCTTTCTTAAACTATGAGAGCATACGCTGGACCCAAATAGAACCCTATCTAGAAAATTCATGTTCCACGCAGTAGCTGTTCCAGTTTGAACTATAAAAACTTGCTGTAGCCGATAAAAACTTGCCTCTACTTCAAAGAGAGGTTGCCATGAAGGCTCTTGCGCAACCGACATGCTTTGCGACTATATTTGCACAACCGGCCTTATATCGTGCCGCATGAAATTACTAAATACAGTACATTTCTCCTCGCGTAAAAAATCAGCAACTCCCTACAAGTTTCTTTCCAATTTTCATGGATTATAAGTGTCTGATTGAAGCTTACCTAAAAAGATTTGGCAAGTGATCCACAGCTCAACTGGCAAAATGCAAACAACAAGGTCTTCTAAAGTATTTAGCACATCAAGATATATCAAAAAATATATTTTAGAGGTATTTGGGTAGTTGGTTTCTTTGTTTCACAGACTGGACGTATTCTCTAAACTAAGCACGTCAGATTTTGCAAGAAAACAAAGTTTCAGTTGTACAACTTGCGTAGTCATAAAGTTTTTGTGCGATAGCCAACAGTGGACTAGGTATAAGTACCTCATTCTAAATAAAGTCCTTGGTGAAGTTTTAAAACTAAGTCTTAATTTCATTTTTTCTAGCACTTCAGATTACACCAGGAAACAAGGTTTCAGTCATATAACTTCGATAGTTACAAAGTTATAGTGCGAGATCCAATGTAGGGACGGGATACAAGAACCGTAGTCTATAAATTGCCTTTGCGGAATTTTTAAAGCTGTTTGTGCATCTTATTTTATTCAGCATGTCAAAAAACGCCAGAAAAAGTTTCAGTTTTATAACTTGCGAAGTTGAAACGTTTTAGTGTTATACCTAATAGAGGACTGGGTACCAGTACCCCAGTCCAAAAATAGCTTTAGGAGGGCGTTTTTGAAGCTTGATATCGATTTCTTCTTCTTCAGTATACCGGATTGTGTACTTGTACCAAACTTCATGCCATTATCATGGCATGTACAATTCTACTGCTTTGCGTCTGTACTATTATGAAACTTTAGAAAGCAAGTTGTTTGACAAAACGAAAAGTTTAACCAGCCATAACTTTTTGCTTATAAGTCAAATCACATCGCTCTTTTTATATCGTTTGCTCAGTTTTGCAAGCTCTTTGAGATCTCCAAAAATATTTCGTTGCAAAGTTTTTTAGTCAGTTCCAATGCAAATGGCGGTTGTCTAGAATCCTGGAGGTCATCCGACAAATTATCAAACAAAGCAAATTGTACTTGTCTGAAAAATTTATATTTTGATGATTTATTCAATTTATGTTTATTTATGTTAATTGGGTTAAATTGCAATCGAATATATCAGCCAACAATCTCGTTACGTTCCATTGATTTTATTTGTTGTTCTTGGAGCAAAGGGTTAACGAAATTTGCTTTGAGGCAGTCGTCCTAATACTTTTGTCACGTGACTGTACAGCAATCCGTTGCGTTTGTCTTGAGCTGAACTTAACGCAAAAATATTGAAGCTTCATTTGAAATTCGTAGAAAAAGGAAGAAAGTTCCAGTTCTACAGGGCAACAAAAGCTCAACTCATTATTTCTCAATCTGCAGCGATCTCTCAACATTGGGGAGGGGTGGGGTTGTTGTGCCCTGGTTCTCTTTTCTAAGAAAGGCGCATTTTTGTGCAATTTTTTGTAATTTGTTTATAATACATCTCAGCTTGTCAATGTCTCTATATAAATCCAGAAGCAAAAAACAGATGGTTTTTAAAATGCTTCATGCTTTTTCTTTTCAAAGAAACCATTTGGTAAAATAACATTCAAGCTGGGATTTGGGAAGACTTTGTTGAAACTAAAAGAACGCCTCGAGTATAGCCAAGCATTAGGCATTAATTATTAAGGATGAATTTTTTCTGCTATTCGTAATAATTAATTAAGAATGGGAGATATCGTCATCTTGTAAAGAGACCACATAACACTGTAACTGACAACAGTTACCGTAAAAATTCTAATAAGCCCCAAAAGGCCTATTCTAGAGGGGAGGGTCTTTAATATGAAAGAAAATTTGAACAACGAGATTTTCGACCCAAAACTAAGTGAAAAATCAACATATAAGATTTTGTGTTTAAGGAATGGACGGTTTTAAGACAGACCGGTAAACAGGATCTATAGAAACTACATATTGGTGCCCAAATGCAAAAGCAATTTAAAGGGTTTGTACATGACAGAAAACTATTGGGGGGGGGGCGACTTTCGTGAGCAAAGGGCTATTTTCATAACTCCGTGCTAACGAGGAGATGCTTGTTGCAGGTGGATTATTTGAAAAAGGGGAATTGATCGATTAATTATAGTTCTTATTAAATCACATTACACAAATAACTTCAGTAAAGATGTATCTCTACGCCCGCTTTGACCTGGAAACCTTTAGTTTTGACGTCGAAAAATAAATGAAAAGAGGTTTAAAAATGCTTTTAGCCAAATTCAAGGCAGTGTGTTCAAACAAGTTACCTGCTTCAAGGGGGTGTAACTTGGTCTATGGCGATCATTCGATAAGTTGCTTGGTTCAAACCGATCTAATTATTTAGCTACCTTTTGTTCATTCATCAAGGCAACATAAGAGAACGAGGTTCCGTGGACTGTGGGTAGAGTTTGTAGAAAAGCAGATTAAGAGTTTAGTGGTCGCTGATTGGTAAAAACAAAACCGATCGAACGCGTCTTTGTTTCTCTCAGGTTGCCTTCGATCCCACACCTGGATACAAATTTGCAGCATACTTTGGGTCATTATCCAAAGTGCCACCTTCAAATGATAGAAAAACAATCAAGTACGATAGATTGTTCTAAAGTTATGAATTTATAAAGGTGCAAATCTTAATTCGATGAAGTCCTTTAATGCTTCAATCCGGGTTCAAATAATTGTTTGTACTTCTTTATTTTGTTTCAAAAAGAAAAGAAGAAGACCATTTCTTGTTATTCGTTGTGTTACTAGCAAATCCGAATTATTCAGGTAGAAATTATATAAAGAAGTATACATATGCTTTTAAGTTACTCACTAGAAACTTCTAATAGCCCACTCTGTAGCTGTTTGTTTTAAAGAATAATTGTTTTAGACTAGAATTTGAGGGTTGTAATTGTTACTAGAGACTTTTATCAATCATAAGAACCTAATATTGTTACAGTTTTAAGGATCATTTTGTCGGTAAATTTGTCCAGAGTCTCAGCATATTCGCAAGAGATCCGTAGTTGGGCTTTCAGTTGTAAATATTGACTACCACTGTATATTCAAATATTGAGCCACCGAAATCGTAATTTTTTCTCATTTACTTAATGTATTCAAAGGTTTCCTCTTGGTTTGTGGTCTTAAACTGTTTGTCTATGCGGTATTGTGTTTGGATTCCAATAAACGCCCCTTTTTCAATTCAAGACCTACGGCTCAGGTTTTAAAGCGGCGTTTACTGTAGCACAGCGTTTCAACGAGGGAAGAATGTCCCTCAGAGGAAATACTGCGGTATTTACTGCACTTCAAAGACATAAACTCTTTCATCTGTGCTTATTTCATGCAGCTAAATCAAACCAATCTCTGTGTTTATGTATAATTTAGAATAACAGAGATCATCCTTAAATGAGACTTGTTCAAGTTCTTTGGGCCGACTCAGTGTGAAAGAATAATGGATTATCGCTAATTTTGCCTTCACTGATGCCTGTTTGCTACTTTAGACGTATGCATAGCTGAAAATTTATTAAGTGATCGTCAAGAAAATAAGACAGGCTTTGTTGCACCACACTTGTTGCACCATTTTCAAATTGCTGTAATAAATCTGCCCGTCTATGTACTGCGGTGAAATAAGATTTTCAGGGAGGCAAAGAGTTGAGGGAGACAACACTAAGCTGTTAACATACAAATATTAAAATCATTTGGAAAACAATGATTTAGATTGGGGATTTAGAAGCGCCTTCAGCTCCTTGGTGGAAAACCGCTGTTCTAGAACGAGGCCATCAACATCCGCAGACAAAACCAAGCATGTGTTTCAAACAGGGAAATAAGCTAGGTGAAGATGGGTTGTTTCCCCACCGAAATTAGACAGCTTATCATATTGGGGCACTGCATGTGAAAGTTGGTAAGTATTTATTGTTAAATGGTTAAAGTTGGACATGTAGTTATTGTTTATTTATTCGCTGTTTTTGGTGTATTCCTTGAGCTTATAAGTTATAATTATGCGTAGCCCGCGTTTCTTAGAGGATTCAATTGCATATTTATGTCATAGTTTTGGAGGGCAGGCTCGGTCTTTCCGCGTCCTATTTGTGGACGAAAATCCACCCTATGGATGATGACATTTTATCTTCTTTTGAGAATTTTGGTTTCCTGGATGTCATAGGTTCAAGGCACGTAATTGTAAACAATACGGGTCGTGCTGGTGTTGTCGAGGGCTCTTTCCGGAGATGACATTTAAGCTGGTATGCGAAATCTGATTGCTAATCCAAGGGGTGTTACTAAAAGCAGAAATATTTTCCAGTTTGCATCCATGCTGCCTTCATATGCTTATGTCCTTTTCAAAGGTCATGGTTATCGTTTCTTGCAGTTTTAATTAAAATATGAGAACTTTCAGCAAATAGATCAGTGGCCCCGCAACCTTTCCAGGAAATTGGCAATAGCTATCGCGACACTAGAACAAGAATGATATAGTTTCGTTCTACTGGTTTGGTAAGCCAATTCCTTATGCAGATTACCTTGAAAATAACTTCCTTTTTCATCCTTGTGTCAGTGTGTCGCAATTTTTTTTTTTTTTAATTGATCTTAAGGTCTGGATATCGCCCGGATTGTGTTTTCAACAAGTTCCATTTCGATATTCTTTAGATCATGTAAGGCTTTATATTCAAGCCCAAATAAAAATTATATCAATATAAGGTAA